GCCAATAATTATGGCTAATAATTATGGCTAATATTCTTTCCCTTTTTTCTAACACTCCCTCTCAAGTTGAGTAGTGGGATCGCCAATACCCAACTTGCTTAGTGTTGTAGTAAATGTCCGTGAGTTGACAGCCTTTGTGAGTATGTCAGCTAACTGATCCTCTGATCGAGTAAATGGTAGCTCAATTAGGCCCCCTTCCAGCTTCTCTTTGATAAAGTGTCTGTCGACCTCTACATGTTTGGTGCGGTCATGCTGGACTGGATTTTCAGAGATACTAATTGCAGCCTTATTGTCACAAAATATCTTGCATGCTTTCTGCGGTGGAAATCCTAAGTCTTGCATCAATTTTCTGATCCATAAGATTTCAGTGATTCCTCGAGAGATTCCTCTGAATTCTGCTTCTGCACTTGATAGTGCTACCACGTGTTGTTTTTTACTTCTCCATGTCACAAGGTTTCCTCCAATCAGAGTAAAGTATCCGGAAGTGGACCTTCTGTCGTTCGGATTCCCTGCCCAATCTGCATCTGTGTATGCCATGACTTCTAGATTCCCGGTTTTCCTGAAGATTACCCCTTTTCCAGCTGTTCCCTTCAAATATCTTATTATCCTCAGTGCAGCTTCCATGTGTTCTTCTTGCGGATTATGCATGAACTGACTTACAACCCCAACTGCATATGCTATATCTGGTCTGGTGTGAGCTAGGTAGATCAATTTTCCAACCAGTCTCTGATATTGAGTTTGATTTACTGGTTTTCCATCTTTGGTAATCTGTAATCCATGATTCACCATTATTGGGGTTTCGACTGGCTTACAGTCCACCATTCCTGTTTCAGCTAGCAAATCCAGAATGTACTTCCTTTGGGATATGAAGATTCCCTCTTTGGATCGTAGGACCTCAATTCCTAAGAAGTACTTCAGTCCTCCCAGGTCTTTCATCTCGAACTCAGAAAAAAGTCTTCCTTTTAATCTGTGAATCTCTTCTTCATCATTCCCTGTTAGGATCATATCGTCCACATATATGATAAGACATGTGATCTTATCTCCTCTTTTCTTTAGGAACAGCGTGTGATCTGCATTACTCTGCATGTACCCATTCTTCTTCATGGCCACTGTGAATCTCCCGAACCAAGCTCTCGGTGATTGTTTTAACCCATACAGGGCCTTTTTCAGTCTGCAAACCTTGCTCTGGTCGGATCCGGTAGGATTTACCATATAGACTTCCTCCCTCAAATCACCATGTAGAAATGCATTTTTCACATCGAATTGATGAAGCGGCCAGTCTTTGTTGGCTGCAACTGCAAAGAGAATTCTGATGGTATCTATTTTTGCTACCGGGGAGAAAGTCTCACTGTAGTCAATGCCGTACGTCTGGGTGTATCCTTTAGCAACCAACCTTGCCTTGTAGCGGTCTATTGTTCCATCTGCTTTGTACTTGATTGTGAACACCCACTTGCACCCTACTGGCTTCTTGCCGGGAGGTAGGTCACATACTTCCCAAGTGTTATTCTTTTCCAGAGCCCTCAACTCTTCATCCATAGCCATTCGCCATTCCCTTTGTTTTCGTGCTTCTTCTACGCTTCTGGGTATATCTTCTGAGGCTAAGATGACTGCAAATGCATTGGCCTGACCTGATACACTCCCCCTTACCAAATTACTCATCGGATATCTGGACTGTCGTGATAAGTGAATGGGAGAGTACTGTTTCTTTGGTATGCCCTTGCCATCATTTCGTAGGTTGTATCGTGGAGCCCCAGCTTGCGTTTCTCTTTCCAAGTTCTCTTGGACCTGTTCATCATTACTAGATTGTACCTGCTCATCATCACTAGGCACAACATCAGTAGAAATATTACTGGACCTGACATCACCTGAGGAATGGAGATTGAGTACCTCAGTGTTGTCTTCCAACACAAGAGCTTCAAGGGGTGGTACTGGTGCGTTGGTTTGTTCAATGGTGTCTTCCCTAGACTCAGACATTTGGATTTCTTCTGTGGGAGAATATATCAACCAACTTAAAAAATCACTTTTATCAGAGAGCTCCCCCTGATTTTTTTGTGGTTGAGAATAGTAAAACTCTGTTTCAACAAAATTGCAGTCCATAGAGACATACATGCGATTTGTTGGAGGATGATAGCATCGATACCCCTTTTGATGAGAAGCATACCCCACAAAAATACATTTCACGGCACATGGTTAAAACTTAGTACGAGTGGCTTTAGGGACGTGCACATAAACTGTTGTGCCAAAAACTTTTGGGGGTAATGTAAGTGTAGGTGGCAAATGGGTCTGTTGTGAGAGAAAATTTAATGGGGTTTCCATATCGAGGATCCGAGTGGGTAACCTATTCAACAGATAAACTGAAGTCACTACGGCTTCAGGCCAATAGTGGTGAGGAACCTTAGATTCAATCATGAGAGACCGAGTCATTTCAAGGAGCTTGCGGTTCCGTCGTTCTGCCACTCCATTTTGCTGAGGAGTGTGTGGACAAGTGGTTTGATGCACTATCCCTTGATTTTTGAAAAAATTTTGTAATGTATGGTTTACAAATTCCCCTCCATTATCAGATCGAAAAATCTTAATTTGTTTTTGAAACTGATTTTCAATCATTTTTGAGAAAAGAATAATTTTCCCAGAAACTTCGGATTTATTTTTCAAAAGATAGACCCATGACATGCGAGTACAATCATCTACTAGGAGTAAAAAATAATGATAAACAGTGGATGCATGAGGTGCCGGACCCCACACATCAGCATGGACCAGACCAAACAATGTTTCAACGCGAGTATTTGACGGTAAATAACTAGTTCTGTGACTCTTAGCCAAAATGCATGTTTCACAAGTCATTTCAGATTTATTTGAAACTAAAGACGGAAACAAAGATTTTAAATAACCTAAGGACGGGTGACCTAAGCGTCTGTGCCATAGCCAAACTTGTCTATCGGTGGTCCCATGAGCCAATCGAGATATACCCTCTTGATTTATGTCATCCACCACATACAAACCACCGCGTTCAGTACCACGCCCAATGATCTCCTGTGTAAGAATGTCCTGTAATATACAAAAACCAGAGTACATTATTACCCTACTGTTGTATTCTCTGGTAACCTGACTTACTGACAACAATTTACATGAGAGGCTAGGAATATAAAGACATTTTAACTTTATATTGGGAAATATTTGTGTGTACCCTTCCCCCTTAACTTCTGAAATTCCCCCATTTGCTGTATGTATGTTTTTTATTTTAGCTGGACCTATTTTTATTAAGTCATCTGGTTCATATGTCATAGTATCTGTAGCCCCACAATCAAAGATCCAATTTTCATCTTTAGAGGACTCATTTTGTTGTCTAAGTGCAAGACTTAAACAAGGAGAAGGGGAAGGATAGGGTTTTAACCCTAACCCTTCGTTACCTCCTTTTGTGCCGCTCTGATTATCGCTGCTGCCTCCATGTTGTGCGCCGCTGCTTCCGGCTGCCACCAGTCCTTTTCCGTTGATTCCATGGCCGCCGCTGGTGTTGGTGGCCTCATGGCTGCCCGCCGCCGCAGCTATTCTTGTGTTGTTCGGTTTTCCCGGCTTGTGACCATCTTCCCACCAATCCGGGAAGCCATGAAGGAGGAAACAGGTTTCATTTGTATGTTTTGCTCGATTGCAATGTGTGCAAAAGAGTTTGCTTTTGTCAATTTTCCTGTTGAATCCTCCCGATTTGTGTTTCTGTGTGCTTCGATCACTGTTTCTGGTAGCTAGCCCCGACCCGATTCCGATTCCCTGTGATGATGAATCTCCGGCAGTGATGACGTTGCCGGAGGTTGTTGGATGCAATATTGCGTCCCTGGCGGCCTCCTGGCGAATTTCTCCATACGCGGATTCAGCTGAGGGAAGGGGTTCTCTCCGGAGAATCTCTCGACGAATCATTTCAAATTTTCCGTCCAGTCCGGCTAGAAAATTAAAGAGCCTCTGTTCTTGTGTGATTCGGTTGTATTCTGCAATATCGGCTTCTAATTTCATCGGATTTGGTTGCCTCCTGTCGATGGCTAGCCATAAACTTTGTAGTTTATTCCAGTAATCTTGCAATGTCTGTGTTCCCTGAATTTGTTGTCTTGCCTGGTTGTATAGGTCATATATCTGGAATGAATCCCTTCTGCTCCCATATGTGGTGGCTAATGAGTCCCATAATGATTTTGCTGTTGGAAATTCCACATAGTTGGGAGCTAGATGAGGCTCGACATTCTGTATGATCCACGAGATGACTCTTAAATCTTCTCGTTCCCATTTTCTATAAGCTGAATCGTCAGTTGAGGATGGTGTGTTGATGCCTGTGATATGATCCGTGTTGTCTCTCACTCCAATCTCGACTTTCATAAGTCGTGACCATAGGGGATAATTATCCCCATTCAATAGAATGTTGAGTTTGATATCTGAATTGATTGTTGGACTGGAAGTATTTCCCAGTCCGTTTCGTAAAATCTGGGCAATTTGCAGTGTCAGTGCTTCATTTGCTTCATTTGTTGCTGCAAGTTCTGCCATGTTTTTGACGCCTGTTGAGATGAAGTTGCGGAAGTTGGTGTTTCGATGGCTGCAATGTATAAAGCTGAGCCTAATTTTAGAAGGTAATAAGCAGGATCAAGCCTGGCTCTGATACCATCTTAAATCATAGAAAGAAAGCAAATAACACAGTGATTTATGTGGTAAAGGATTGTTTTCTTATATTGTATCTCTTTGTGGTACATCTGTTTATATACACCATTCTACAGGTTTTGAATTTTGAATAAGAGGTTGAGACTTGCTTACTAATTTGGAATGTAATGAACGGCTATCCTATAATTATGGCTATGATGAGGCCAATAATTATGGCTAATAATTATGGCTAATATTCTTTCCCTTTTTTCTAACACTAGCATCCACGATCCAGAGCTGTTGTTTGGCTGAGACCCGAGCCTCCTTGGGTAAAGCTAAACATTGACGGATCCTTTGACTGACTTACCGGAGCAGCTGAAGGTGGGGGGCCTGATTAGAGACCATAGCGGTACTCATATTACATTTATTCAGGCCCCTTTTTGGGTCTCCTCGAGCTATGACGCGGAGGTTCAAACGCTTCAGATTGGTTTTTAGATTGCCGCCTCGATCTCCTCTCACATTTGGATAGAGTTGGACGTTGCCGCTGTCACCACTCTCTTGACCTTTGGCAATCAGGGCACTTGACGGATTTAACATCCTCTCATGCGTATTAGAGTCACACTTCAGTCGATTCGTTTTCGGATCTCGCATATCTTCCAGAGGAGAACCGACTGGCTGACTTCCTCGCTAGCATCGGATCCACCACCCCCCAGAGGCGCATCCTCTACCATGACGATATTCTTCTTTGCCTCCGTATATTTATACGAATGGATCAGATGTGTTACCCTTTATTCAGATTTGTGTAGCCGGTCATACCTTTTGACGCATCTGCCTTCCCGTGATGTTGACTTCTTGACTGGATTTTTCCCGGCCAGGATCTGATACTTTTGTGTTACTTGCTGTTGTTGTCAGTTTTTTCTTGTATCTTTCATTGTTTCTATTTTTGCTTTCGTTTGACTTAATGCATATTAGACATTGGACTTGTAGATTTGTGACTTTTCTGCCCATTTAGGTCTTTTTATTTACAGGTTGGGGGTCCGACCTTAAGAAAAAAAGAACCTCCTATATGGCCATAGCCCACTCTTTATATATGAGAATAGTTACTTATTGCCTAAGAATACCATGCTACCCCAAAATATCTTATTTTGTAGCCCAAAAATATCTTATCTTGTTGCTGGAGACTACCTTGTTTCCGAAGAGCACCTTATCTACTTTAGTTCGGACCAAAGTCTGACCATCGAGTAGTCCAACTTCCCTACTATACTAACTCGACCAACATGCACGTAAGTCGTTAGGTTGGGACCCGACCCAACGTTTATGGAGAGACTAACCCGACATAATCGACCTGACAAACCGGCTTAGGTTGAGTCGGGGGTTTCTCCGGTCTAGAACCGATTTGTCCATAATATGTCTACTCTCCCCTACTTATGAGCACACAAGCTCTAACACGTGTGGTCATAAATAAATATCTCGAAGTGCGTCTGTCGAGCTATAATGCAAGTTCAAGGATCATGCTACCAACATTAAATGCAGCTGGAGCTGGCGTGAAGCACACCTAAATGCTGACACCTTTTCGCATATCGATGCAAAATACTCGAGTGCCTGTGATGTTTCACATACCGAGGCACTATTTTTACCGTAGATCTACACTGAGAGGTGAGACCTAGATCAAATGATTCTTGGCTAACCAACCTTGGATGCTGCAGGTGTAACCGTCGATCTAACAACCCTATGTGACCGACCGTTGACCTAGTTTTTTTCTCATATATAAAAGGATGTCTCCTTGTTCGTTTTCCCTTTCTGAGCTCCCAACAAACTTAGGCATTTATACACTTCCGTATATCCGACACACTTACTTTTCCCTTGACTTGCACAAACATCTGGAGCTCGACATCACACAAGATATATGCATGTCCTTCTAACTTTTCCCTCCCTTTTGAACCTTAAGCCAAAATCTATCGGCTTGAGTTAGTTGACGATCCTAGAGGTAAAATATGCTGGAGTGAGCTGTAAATTACATTGAAACCCATCCATCTACCATAGACGAGCTTGAGGACCCATCATGACCTTCCACACACCCTCCCCCTCCCATAGCTCACCAGTACAACTAACCATGGACGGTCTACCTTCCTTAATTGAGTTGATTGAGATGGAAAAGTTAGGTGGATTGAACCATTTCTCTTGTCTGACCTTTGGGCAGCTCAATACCCTCATATTTTTCTACGAGGTTCTCCATACTTTGGAGCTCGTTACCTTTAAATCCACTAATTTCTTCGACCTACCTCCATACAACTTTTATACCTTCTTTCGGAACCAAATCTGCAGTCCTCTGTGTTTTCCCATTCAAGCCGACCTAACTCAACTGAGAGAGCTCCATCGTCTGGCTATAATTCAGTTTCTCCCCAATGCCATCTACGTGATGGTTTGCTTCAATATCCTTATTCACGTTCGACTAAGAAGTAAGGTCGCGATTTGTGTACTATAAAGACCAGGGCGAGCGACTTTCTCAATGATGTTGTATCTGGTCTCTGCCCTTATAACAATTTGTTAGTATAATATATAGGTCTTTACTGTCGTCCTTACACCTTCAATAGCACTGAGTTTATCGTTACATGATCTACAGAGAGGTATATAGCTCGTCCCCTAGCTCGGGTTTCATGAGCAACGATAACGCTGCCAAGAATTCTCCACCCATAAAAAATTCGGTTCCCTTCTTCAATGCCTGAAAGAATGAAAAACCCTTCTCAGCTGATTGAGCGATGAACCGGTTGAGACCAACCAACTGACCTGCGAGCATGTGTGTTTCATACAGGTTCTTTGGTGGTTTCATTTCGTTAATTGCTCGCACCTTTGGTGAGTTAACTTCGATTCCCCTTTCTGTCACCATGCAGCCAAGAAATTTTCTGACATGACGTTGAATTTACACATGGAAAGATTCAATTCATCGCATATGATTGAGAGTTATGAAGGCCTCTCTCAGATCTCTGGTGTGGTAGCATACTCTTAAAGAGAATATCATCTAAGTAGACCTTCATGTTTCGATCGATCTTCCCCTTGAACATCTGGTCAACCAATCTTTTATGTGTGGCTCATGCATTTTTTAGGCCGAACGACATGACCACATAGAAATACATTCCTTAATTTGGTCGTCATGATGCTCCGTTTTTTATCCTCTCTTACTAAAGTGATCTGATGGTAATCCTGCAAAGCATCCATCATGCTCAACAACTCGCAGGTAATCACCGAGTCCACCATCTAGTCACTCTGATGCAGCGTATAATGGTCGTTCAAGAATGCTTTATTAAGATCTAAAACATCGATACACATCGTTTATTTATGTAGGTCTTTTTTACCATGACCGCGTTGGACACCCACTCTGGGAATTGGATCAACCTGATGTGTCCTGCCTTGAGCAGCTTATTAACCTCTTGCTCGATTACCAAATCCAGCTCAGCACTAAAGTGGTTGCACTTCTGCTTCATTGGATTTAATAGTCTCAATGATGTTTAAGTGGTATACCACAAGATCCGAGGATGCATGTGAACTCATTGGGATTGAAAGAAAAAACCATCAAAATCTTTGTGTACCAATCAATTTTTCCATAACATTTGTATGGTGAGGTCTTTACCAATGTAGGTAATTTTTCTCATCTCTCCTTCCACGAGCTTAACCCTCATGAGCTCGCCTTGAGATGTCATGTTTAGCTTGACTTGTTTTTTGGCTCTCTTGACCTACACTTCGACTTCTCTCTTTTCATCTCGTCCATCCTAAAGGGTGACCTGGTACACGACCTGGCCATATTCTAGTTTCCAACGGCCTTCCCGACCTTGCTCACAGGGAATCTGATCTTCATCCAATAGGTTGATATGGTTTATTAGAACACAATCAAGCTTGGTATGCTGATTCGATCTTAACAACCAAATACCTGGCCATCCTGACACGCCGCAAGGGGGTACACCGAGAGCTACTTGTAATATCACCTCATCTAAGGGAACTACCTCTGAGCAGTTAAACTAGTATAGTGTTGTGCGTACTGGCTGCAATGGTACCCCCAAATCCATCTTCTCAAAGCAATGGGTGAAAATGATATCTACACGGCTTCTGGTGTCTACAATACATCTTGAATGTGTTGAACGGGCCTACAAGAGAATAAAATTATTTTATATTAACTAAGTAATAATTTAGACCTTGGTAGTTGTTGTGGTCTCTTAACTTATAAGACAATAAACAATCATATCTATTTGGTTATTAATTATTTAGCTTACCAAGAGTGAGACTTATTGATGTGTCGTTAAATTTTTTTATGGTCACCATGTTTCGATGTGCCGGGTTGATGACATCCTCTAAAATGAGCTAAAAAAATACTAAGTAAGCCTTGAGACGGATTATTTTTCGACATAATAATAAAGAATTGAGTGTTACTAGTTTCAGTTCGAAAAGTTGATTAATTATATTTTCATTAATTAAATTAATCAACGGATATTAGATCTTAAACATTAGAAAGTAAATCGGGCAATTAACTGAGAAATGAATTATTTGTAATTTGGGGGCTAAATGGAAAGTTTAGCAATATTTTCTTAATTGGAATGAAATATTACTCAAGTATGAATAAAGTGTGTCGGACCCTCAGTTGGATTCATATTTGGGAGCCAATATTTAGCACCTCCTTAGAGTCCTTGTAGACGTGTTCAACAGTCGGGTAGGTTCACGGCCCTGCCCGTCCTGCCGTGTCAGCGGGCCTCAAATGTTGGTCCTAGAACCTGCTCGGCTATACCTAAGCGCCGATTCAAATGAATCAGCCCGACCCGGTGGTTCATTGAACTACCGGTTTTTTTTTTAAAAAAAAAACAACTACGACGATCGTCGAAGGACCCAGACCCGGCCTGTCACGGCGAGTCAAAAAGGCAAAA